AGTTCTAGGGGTCTGACCTGTGATGTTTTTACCTCAGGATATAGAAGTAGCACTCCAAGCAATAAACACACTTTAGCTTACTCTTTTGTACATTTGACAAAAAGTACAGATTTCAACAGAAATTGGCACTTTTATCAAATTACCTTGTTACACTCCCATGGCTGTCAATCAGACAACTGGTCTAGTTGCTTCCTGGTTGTCTAGCTTAGTTGAACTGACCTTAAGATGCAGGCATTTGCCCAGAGCACCTGCCTTGCAAAGACTTCTTATTGAGCTGCATTGGGAAGTCTGGGATTTGACAGCGACATAAAGTCTGGGTTGTTTAAGAAGGGGAGGGCCTACAAAGACTGCAGACAAGAGAACTACAGGTTTTAGACACTATGAAGACATGCATAATTAAATGAATGCATGTTTTCATTTGGGGTATATCTAATTAATAGTGATTTATTTATCTTTAGTGTTTCTGTAAATGTGTATTCCTGCAGCATAAATTGTCATTAGTCACACCTTTTTTTTTTTTAGAACAGCCCCACCCCTGGCTACATCCCCACTCACACCCCTAAAATTAAAGTGTCCATCTTTGTCCATTTATAAAAAATACTGAATATATATTCATACTTACTATACGTTTCTTTTATTGACTCCTATCCATAGCTACATATGGTTCCCTCCATAGATTATGCTTGGATAGATATAGAATTTTAGGGGGGAGGGAGAATTTCCATGTGCTGTCTGTGCTTTGGCAGATTTAACCTAATTATATATCCTACCATGGAAAATAGCCAGGAAAAGAATATCACTGTTGATTTGAATATTTTCTTTAATCTCATAACCTCTGCTGTGAAAAAAGAGTATTTTGTTGTAGCTGCAGGTACACCCACTAAACAGTGCTAAATACGGGAACTTTAAAGGTAAACATATTTAATGTTTATTTTAATCAAATTATTACATATTTTCAAAGCATTATTTTTGCCATACCATAAAAACTAGGGGACCAATTTCCCCCCTATAGATTCCTTTTGATTCCTAAGCTGGAGTCTCAGACACTAGTGTTAATTCTAATTCAGATGAAATTAGAAAGGAAACAAAAAATTGTATTTTAGACTGATCGCATCTCTGAATGGTTGGATGTCTAGTCTGCAAGTGAGCTATGGCATCCCATAAGTCTTGCATACTATACATTTTCCATTCCAAGATAGCCCCTGCAGTAGAAAGCTGAACTGATTTTGGAATGCTTTATAAATATCAATAAGCAGGTCACAAAAAGTGAAAGAAGTCAGCATTTTAAACAGAGAGTTTCTATGAAAATCAATCAATTGAATTTTCTCCCTTAGTTCATATGTATCTATTGATCATGTCATTGATCATTGTGTTATGCTTTTAGGCAATATTTGAATTTCAGAAAATATGTTCATTAGATTTGTGCATGAGAGAAAAGTTGGTTTGGCTGAATCCATTTTTCTTGAAACATGAATTTTTTGTGGGAATGCTGAATTTCGCCCGCATGTTTGTTTCGGCTCGGCAGAATTTCAGACCTGAAAACTTGTTTTCAAGTGAACCAAAAGGGTGCAAAAAATCAGCATATATTTATAGTTTGCAGTACAAATGACATATAATGATATCCTCACTAGAGATGTCGCGAACCGTCGGCGAACTTCTCGCGAACGGTTCGCCGCGCTTCGCCATGAGCTGTTCGCGGCGAACTCCGGTCAGCTGACACGTCCCGGCCAATCTCCAGCAGACCATCCCTCCCAGACCCTCCTACTTCCTGGACAGCATCCATGTTAAAACATGGATGCTGTCCAGGAAGTTGAAACATGGATGCTGTCCAGGAAGTAGGAGGGTCTGGGAGGGAGGGTCTGCTGGAGATTGGCCGGGACGTGTCAGCTGACCGGAGTTCGCCGCGAACAGCTCGTGGCGAACCGTGGCGAACCGTTCGTGAGAAGTTCGCGGACGGTTCGCGACATCTCTAATCCTCACATGCAGCCTTGTAGTCCGATCCAGATGTTGCAGGCTGTAGAAGGCAGTCCAAGATCAGGTGAGCAGGATTAATCTGCCTGGGGTTCCCACCGGTTGCCTGCTGTACTGTGCCAGCAAGGTGCAATATAACTGCTCACTAAGACCAAAGTAAGAATGGCTATGGTGAGTGTTAACTCCTCTGTGTTTTGTGAGCCTGCACTCACTTCTTCATGGAGCATGAACATATGTTCATGCTCCCTGAAGAAGTGAGCACAGGTTCGCAAAATGCGTAGGAGCAAATGATTACTGTAGCTGTTCTTGTGTTGGTCCTTGAGCACTTGTAACATGGCTTCCCGGGACAGGGCGCAACCAGTAGGAACTCCAGGCAGACCTGATATCTCTCATCTGATCTTGGACTGCCTTCTAAAGCTACCAATTCAACCTTTATTCGCTGCCTCCTGCCAAATAACTTTTCAACCGCAAGGAGGAAATTTGAAGAGTTTTCCTATACAGCTGGAGCGGACTATTAGGCTGCATATGAGGATATCATTAGATTGCTCTTATACCCACTCGATTCTGTGAATCTACTTTATTGGAATATTCAATTAGTAATTAAATACTCCAATAGTCTATCAAATAGGTAAATGCACTTGCAAATCCAAATTGTTTTTGTTGATTAATATATAATATAATGACTGTTGTGTATTATACATAACTCATGTAATCAGAAGATCAGGATTAATAACATCACACTAAATCAGTAAATTTATAAAATTTATAAAGTGATACAAAAGGCAACATTTCAAAAGGTTCCTGTCAAGTTTTTAATATAATGTATTAGTAGCATTATGTAGTTTTATTTTCAGAGCAACAAACTTTTTCAATTTATACTGCAACAAGATAACAGTTCCCTGTTGTGCATTAAGCATCTCAGTCAAATTTTATCTGCTTTATTAAATTTGACAAAAACACCAGATTAGCAGCTCTAGTTTATTAAATACATAAATACAGAGGTAGATATAAGAAATAAGTCCTAAGATTGATATCGCTTATATAAAATGGTATATAGTTTGCAACTTGAATATTTTCAAAAATGTTCAAAAGGAGGGTCCCAGAACAAAGTTTGTAAATTTTGAATGAATATTCACTTAATTAGGTTCACCTATTTAGTACAGATAACACAATATTTCTTCCTCTGTAACACCATAATTTCTTGACTGCCACATCAGCAAAGTATTCAATACATTTGTTATGGGTTTATAAATATTGATCCACTCCAAAAGCATCTGAGAATTTCAAGTTACACATTTATGATGTGATCCTTCTGATGCTTCTTACATTGATATTCCATTGCTGAACTGATCTGGAGAGATCTGGATACTGGTAAAGCCTTTGGAATACACTGAAATTTAGGGTAACTCAGAGACCTGGGGACTTTGACAATTTTTGGAGTAAATTAAAGTTACTCTTGAGTTCATGAAACAAACATGGAACAAGATGTGAGTTTTGATATTGTATTTTGCCCTTAACAGAGATTGTAACCACACAAGAATGCAAATATTTACCAGTAATGTTCATATATGAGTGGAATATAAATGATGATCATACCATTACAATACCACCAGCAGTCAGCACTACTGGCATAAGATAGAATAGATCAATTTAGTAAAGCATTCATCAGTCAATATTTGTCAGACATGGTTCTTCCATTTGTCAATATTCCAGTTTTGGTAACCATCGTAACCTCATCTTCTTGTTTATAGATGATATAGTCAATGTTCAGTTATTTCATTCTGCTCATAAGCAGAAAAGCATTGCCAGTGATAGACTAATGTTACTCTCACCCACAATCCAGTAGAGGACCAGTAGAAGACCTGGTTTACTGAGAATTTACTGAGCACCTCATCTGATAAACTTTATGGGAACATAAGTGTAAAATACCCCAGTGAAAACAGAAAAACTAGTGTCTACTCTAGTGGTAGCTTTTTAGTAGAGCCTAGGGGCAATTCCTTGCTGCTACCTGTGTAATTGGCAGGCATAAACAGCCTCTGACAGTATTCACAGGCACTATAGTAAGTAGTGACTGGTCAGTAAAAATTAGTGTCAGGTATGGAGATATGCCAGCCCTGTGCCTGCCTAGGTTAGGTGTAGTAATTTTTCATAAATGCTATCAATTTCTACACCTAAGTTGCTTTGCATATTTAATAAATGTCATTCCTCATTGCTATTTCTATGTTTTTCTATGGAACTTGTTGCAAGAAGTTTCTATACCAGCATAATTGATTTTACATAAGGACACAAGTAAATGTAATTTTGGAATAACGTTTACCAAAAGCAAAACATTTTAATGCTGACTTCTAATAAATGAAGGGGTTAGTGTGGGAGAAGGGAAGGCAGTCATTATAATGGTAAAGTCCTTACATATTTTCTCATCATAAAGAGCCAGGGGTGTCAATATAAAACAAAAAAACAGAAACTACAATTGCATGGTGCTGACTCCTTTAGAATTTTTGCCTCTTGTATAACGGGGATTTAAAAGATTCTTTCAATACCTACTATTTAATAAAGTAGAATTAGAGAGATCTTCTTGTTATTAAGCTGTGTGTCAAAAACAATGGCACTGCATTCTAATAAAGCATCATATAAAAAGGTTATTATAGGGGGAAAGTAGCTAGGAATTCAAAGGAGACAGTATCCCTTAGTTTATTGTGTTATATATTTTTAGTGTTCTATAAAATTTTGCTCACAAGGGTTTCAGTGCATTTTGTAAACATTTTTCTTTGCTATTGCTTTTAATAAGCTCTGAGACTAAAAGTCAGTTTCTGACAGAAAAAAAATGCCTGGGAGTGTATTTTTGGTTTAGTGAAGTTGCATCTTGTGTTTTGTGTATTTCAGTAGATTGTGAAAATAAATAAATACATGCTAAGCAATAAAATTTGAAATATTTTTAACTATAGCTATATTTACTGTTAACTCAAAGTTCTGTTGTAAAAAGTGGTGCAAAAATTTAAAATGGGAGGAGTCATCAATGGAATGTGCCTAATGCTTTCACTGGTTTCCATGGTGATTGTCCTACATTTTCCTTTTTTAGACCACTCTTTAGAAAACTTTAATCTCCTCCATGTATTCTAGACCTGGCAAACTAAGATGCTCCAGAAGTTTGGCCACTAAGATTTTCAAAATGTTTTGTGTAGTAAAGCTATAAGTGGACATAGGAACATAATATCTCACTGAAAATTTTGAAAGTTAAACCCAGTCAAAGCAAATCCAAAGTAAACCAATGCAACATATGCAAAAAATCCAATGCATGTTCCCCTCCAAGAACTGCACTCTGAAAAAATCCAATTTGTCAGGGGAACACGTTGATTCTGTGATGCTATTTGACTTGTCTCCACCAGAAGATGTTGATTGATTTTGTCATCTCAAAGAGTCTGACTCCATTTGGTTGGGACACACCAAAGATGGCAATTTAAGAGTTACAGCGGATTATACAGGCAGAGTATATCTCTATATTTTTACATCATAAAATGGTTATATGTTAATTTTTCCCACCCTATGATATTTCCATGTCTGGTTCTTCACATTTATATGACCAAGTACCTTTTGCACTGGGGGATACTTCTGAGTTTGTACTGTAGAGGTAAACCAACATGTCATTAGACTGTGGACTGGATAGTTCTATATCTACATCTATATATTGGTATATAATATTATATATAACGATAGCTTAGTTGGCTAACGCATCATCAGTAGAATCTGTTGAACACTTGGGGCACAGGTTCAAATCCTGGCATGGTTGACTCAGCCCTTCATCCTTCTGAGGTAGATAAAATTAGGTAATAGTAACAACTCCTGGATGTTGGCTTAAGGTAACATCTCCACTTGCGAAACCAGAGTAATCTGAATGTACCTTTCCTGGTTAAGTACTTTGTTGTTATTATTATTATTTTTGCAGAGCTGCACTCCGACTACTTGATGAATAGAAAATATACCTGGTGTTAAGCAACACAAAAATATAGCAAGAAAGAGAGCCAGCACTCTAGGGTTCCAAATCAAGTTCTTCTTAACTTTAGGACTTGTGGATTTTCCTAAAGTAAAAAATATATTTCTGTGCTCATATAAGTATTATTAATGGCATTTATAAAGAGGAAACAGAATATGCAGTGATGTATAACTGAAAGGAAATCAAAAGGTACTTCCCGTGAGATGAGATGTACCTTTTGAAGCTCTTTTATACAAAGTGCTTACTTACAATGTAAAATAAAATATTTCCTACAATTGTCCTGTTTTGAAATGCACTCTGCTATATTTTTAGGTATAAAACTGCACAAACACCATCATTATTATATGCTTAGACTTCATGTAATGCTCTCAACACATAACTGCAGAAAATTCTAAAATAAGCTAAAATAGCCAATTTAAATTTCTGCTTTTGTACAAAAGTTTTCAACTCACCTCAATTTGCTGTTTAGTGAACTGCTGAGCACAGTTTTCTTCTTTTTTGCAAATGGTTTATATAATCCTACCTGTTCATATAAAATAGCCATCTATCCATCCATCAATCCATCCACGTATCATATATAATATATGTAGTTCTGATTTAATATATATGGATATGCTTTTCAAATTATATAATATTTTTGAATAAACATTTGATATAATTTGTTCAAAATACTAAATTGAAAAAATATATATTGTATATAAATAAATAATTAAAGAGAGAGGTGAATGGGGTTTCAAGAACTGCAGAATGTACAGGGTTAACTGGGATAAACGCCCACCACAACTCCAGTCATACTACCTTCCTGTTTGTTGTTGTGGACACAAGCTGAAAGTTAGTAGAAGATTAGAGGCAATATGAGTAAGGCAAGTTTTGGTAGGCCAGAATAAAGAGTGCAAAAATATCAATACCACTTTTTCTTGGAACAAACATAATTGCACATAGCCAACTTTTAGTGGCCTGCATTATTCCCTAACTGGTACATTATCTGTTACTTATAGCAAAAAGTTCCCGGTTTTCTAGCAAGAATAAAGAGAAGGAAATTATTATATCATATATTGGTATAAATAGGCAAAAAAAAATCTTAACCTATCAAAACGTTTGTAAAGTTAGAAAACTAAGCAGGATGTAAAGTAAGAATGTGGATGAAGCATTTCCCCAAGATTAACTGTTGTAAGGAAATACTGGCTGTTCCAGAAGGTCCATGTCTTGAAGCATCATATAGAACAGGACCCATAAAACATAATTGGATGATGCTTGTCTTCTCCTAGTTCCCGTTTTCTCCTCCTTCTTCTGCCCTAGAGTTGTTGCAGGTGATTCTACCATACCTAAAACTGAAGAAAAATTGTTATCTCAAATAGTATCTATGGAAAAGCTTAAGTTAACTAGGGCCAACTAAGAAATCCTAACAGCCAGACCAAGCTAAGTGTGAAGTCCTGTTAGAGTCTATGCTAGGAGAAGAAGGTAAGATTGGATGACTGAGTCACTTGCGTTGTGACCAATAGACCTGAATGCATAATCATAGAAATTTAATTTGACTAGATATGTGTATAAACTTAGTCACTGAAGTAACAATTTGCTTAATGTCAATCCATAGGTGTACCGAGGTCCATAATCTTAATACCCAAAACCGGATTGTGACATTATAATGTAGTATTGAATTGTGAACACCGGTGATGCAGTATGCGTACTGTAGGTGTGTTGTAAATCTTGCTGATAACTTAAGAATTGAAGATAAGGTAGGTGTAAGTATGAGTTTGGAATACTTGTTACGAATGGAATTGAAGGAAAAGTTATTTAAATTGTTAACCAGTGCATGAATAGACATACATGAAATAGGCCGAAACCCTGTTATTAGTTAACCAAGGAGCAAGGGTACATGATCACAAAATGAACATATACACTTTTTCAATGATTAAATGGGGAGGAGGGTCATGTAATCCCTGCAATTATTGGAGTTGAAACAACTTGTAACAAAAAACATCCCCAGGACGAAAACCAGAGTAATCTGAATGTACCTTTCCTGGTTAAATACTTTGTTGTTATTATTATTATTATATCTAGAGAAATTTGATATTGCCATAGTGAAACCAAGCATATGTAACGTGATTAAACAAGATTAAAATCATATAAAAGAGTGACAGAGGTGTCCACATCCTTAAATTGGCATACAGTAATTGATTAAATTATGTTGTAAGTCTTTGCATATCTCCCCCCTGCTCCATGTTGGTGGTATATAAGTGGATAAAAAAGTCCTACTATCATTTAAAGACAGCCTACAATTTACATAAATGCACCCAGAGACACTCACAAAACACCAAAGAACAGCTTAATCTTCTGACCTGTTTGGGTTGAGATAAGGCCACCAAAGCATTAATTTTCGTCTCTAATTGAGATGTGGATCAAACTGCAATAATGCTTTATGTGAACTGTGGTGGGCCAATACACGTTAACATAGCGAACCCATTGAATGTGAGTGGACGCAGCCAAAAATACTCAAGGTCATCATATCAAGTTGACAGGCACACAAAGTAGCACTATGTATACATATAAAACATTAATATATAGTAAAAAATAGCATATACATATAACACTGTGAATATTGAAACATACTGCAACCAATGTGGATAACAAGATGAACAGTGGATAGCGCCAATGGAGGATAGCTGCATATTACTTACTAACAGCGTAACCTTGACAATGGTTAAAGATGTTAACAATGGTTGATGTTAACTATTGAAATAGGCATAGAGTGACTGAGGTACACAGGGCTAAACCTAAGAGAGGTTTATATTTCAGTCACCTCAACTACGTTGAGGTGACTGAAATATAGTGAACCATGCATAGCGTGAACTTACAGATTTCACTGGATTTTGCACAGTGTAACCAGAAATCATATAGTGAACAAAGTCTATCTCAAGCTGGCGATCATGTAGCAGGTATGGACTGACCACCATATAAAAACATAAGTAGCCTACATAGCAATATATAAACTAAACGAATATCCAATAGTAATAATCATGCATTGAGAGACTGACATGATTACAGTAGAATCATACATGCGTTACTAAATATGGTAACCTACTTGGTAACTGCTTATTATATCAAAAGGTGACTGCTCGTCCTGTGTCCTGTAGTTAAACTAATTTTCTTTTTCTTTTTATTAGGTGTGTCAACTATAATACTTGGATATATCTTACAAGTAATTCCAACCCAATGACTTCTGAGAACCAATATATGTTGCTAAAATCGCAACAAGTGTACTGGCAGGCAGTTCTAATGTAACACTATGGTAATGTATCAAAGGATGATAGCAACGGTAATGTTTGCATCCTGACTATACACCCCTGAAGTACATGCTTGACTAAACAAAACATACAACACTTCCAAACTGCACCCATAGTAAACATAGCCAGCTTGTAATACAGTAGGAACAAGGAAAACATAGAAGAAAGAAAAGTGTAACAACCAATGGATATCTATCCATCCAAGTACAAATACACACACATATGTATGCCTATATACATCTACACATACATATACACAAACATATGTACATATGCACACCCATACTTATACATAAACACACAGACATAGACTGACAGACAGACATACAAGGTTGCGCATGTACAGTATCTCACAAAAGTGAGTACACCCCTCACATTTTTGTAAATATTTTATTATATCTTTTCATGTGACAACACTGAAGAAATTACACTCTACTACAATGTAAAGTAGTAAGTGTACATCCTGTATAGCAGTGTAAATTTGCTGTCCCCTCAAAATAACTCAACACTCAGCCATTAATGTCTAAACCATTGGCAACAAACGTGAGTACACCTCTAAGTGGAAATGTCCAAATTGGGCCCGAAGTGTCAATATTTTGTGTGGCCACAATTATTTTCCAGCACTGCCTTTACCCTCATGGGCATGGAGTTCACCAGAGCTTCACAGGTTGCCACTGGAGTCCTCTTCCACTCCTCCATGATGACATCACGGAGCTGGTGGATGTTAGAGAGCAGTGGCTGTCTTGGAGGTGTGTTTGGGGTCGTTATCATGTTGGAATACTGCCCTGCGGCCCAGTCTCTGGAAGGAGGGGATAATGCTCTGCTTCAGTATGTCACAATACATGTTGGCATTCATGGTTCCCTCAATAAACTGTAGATCCCCAGTGCTGGCAGTACTCATGCAGGCCCAGACCATGACACTCCCACCACCATGCTTGACTGTAGGCAAGACACACTTGTCTTTGTACTCCTCACCTGGTTGCCACCACACACACTTGACACCATCTGAACCAAATAAGTTTATCTTGGTCTCATTGGACCACAGGTCATGGTTCAGGTAATCCATATTCTTAGTCAGCTTGTCTTCGGCAAACTGTTTGCCAGCTTTCTTGCGCATCATCTTTAGAAGAGGCTTCCTTCTGGGATGACAGCCATGCAGACCAATTTGACGCAGTGTGCAGTGTATGGTCTGAGCACTGATAGGCTGACCCCCCACCCCTTCAACCTCTGCAGCAATGCTGGCAGCACTCATACATCTATTTCCCAAAGACAACCTCTGGATACGATGCTAAACACATGCACTCAACTTCTTTGGTCGACCATGGCAAAGCCTGTTCTGAGTGGAATATGTCCTGAAACCGCTGTATGGTCTTGCCCACCGTGCTGCAGCTCAATTTCAGGGTCTTGGCAATCTTCTTGTTTTCAGATCCTCTGAGAGTTCTTTGCCATGAGGTGCCATGTTGAACTTCCAATATGAGAGAGTGTGAGAGCTATAACACCAAATTTAAGACACCTGCTCCCCATTCACACCTGAGACTTTGTAACACTAATAAGTCACATGACACCAGGGAGGGAAAATGGCTAATTGGGCCCAATTTGGACATTTCCACTTAGGGGTGTACGCACTTTTGTTGCCAACTGTTTAGACATTAATTGCTGTGTGTTGAGTTATTGTGAGGGGACAACAAAGTTACACTGTTATACAGGCTGTACACTTATTATTTTACATTGTAGCAGAGTGTAATTTCTTGTCATTTTCACATGAAAAGATAAAATAAAATAAATAATAATTTATAAATACATTTTTAAATAATAAAATATTTACAAAAATGTGAGGGGTGAACTCACTTTTGTGAGATACTGTATAATAGTGCATTATCGTGAAGTAGAGTGAGCTAACCCAGTTCTGAGTTCAGAAATTCATGGAATGTCTGTAGCAAACATAGTGAACTCTAACCAAGCATATTTCAGAATAAGTGCTATTATCAAAATAAACATTGTCATGTAAATGCATGCATAGCATAAAACAAAACCTGTATCAACTATAATAACCATAATTGGGAGACAGAATAGAGCGAAAAGTGAATAAACCAGATGAGAAAATACAGTATCCTGAATTGTACATAGTGGCCTCAGGAACAGCATGCAACTACAGGACAGAATACCCATGAATACTCCTCCAACACCTACCAACCCCCCTATTGTAACATCACTGACTCTTTCCTGCTTCCCTTTTCAAATCTGGGATAAACGGAATATGATCAACAGAAAGTACCAAACCCCATGTGTTAATGTGACACTACCTCCATGCACCACCAAACGTACTGTGGGCCAAACCCATGTGGTCACCTCACCCTACCATACTAACTGGAGTCCCATCTCACTTGCCTCCAGCATGCAATATTCCTGTAGATGCTTCCCCCCTCATGTAATGCTGTGAGCTGTCAAGGGGCTGGTCCCCCCTCCTAAACCTAGTGCCTAAAAAAAAAGAGAGACCCCTCTGACAACTCACAGGCTTACTGCGGTTGCATATAGATAATCTAAATATTATTTTAAATATCAACAAATTTGAAATGTTTATCCACACAAATTACATCTGGGCCTATATTTGCAAAATTTGGTAAAAATCCTAGTATATTCCCCAACATTTCAGTTCAGATATTTATCTAATTTGGACTTTAATTCGTGGACTTGTACATAATGTGTTTATCCAAATCAGTCTTTGTCAGAGAAAAAATAACAGAAAACTGGTCCAAATGCCATATTTATAAAAAAAAAAAAAAAAAAAAAAAAGTTATATTACAAGCTGGCAAAGTTATTGCTATATTCCAAAGCCAGATTACCCATATAGTGCCATTGGTAGCCAGGCCTGGAGCTCCAGCTCTGACTGCAAGTGGGCCTTCCTGAGCCTGTATGATGATCAAACTAATCACCCTGCTAACCTGCTCAAGGGTGTTTTGTAGTTTGCACCTCTATCAGGTGCAGATCACTTTGACAGCACCCTCATGGGTCCCAAGCGCATCTCATAGACTGAGAGCACCACAGATTGTGGTGCATCACAAAGGACCTCTTAACGTCAATTGCACCCGATATTAGTGTAGACCACAAAGCCCCTCAATAAACCACCAGAGATCCTGTCCATAAGGCACTCAACTGGAACAAAAGAGATAACATCCCCCTCCAGTCAAAAGGTAAGCAGCAGGGGGGCACTCAGACTCTCCTAAACACACACAACACGTAGACTCCTCCACAAACAAGGTTAAGCCCCCACACACACAACACTACATTTATTTTTCCTGCATAATCATGGCAAGATGAATTACCTTCAGAAAGTATTTTTTATTTACTTTTTACAATAAAATACAATGTCCGATTCTGTTCTATACTTATATATTATATATTGTCTATAATACAAACTTAACATTAAAAATATGTAAACAAGTGGTCTTACACTAGTAGAATTGTGCAAGTTATCTTTTTTATTGTTCTTAAACTACTACCAAGCTAAGACAAGCCATATTTTCATTTAACTTCATCTTTGACCTGTTTTTCATCAGATTTGATAACTACTTGCTTATTTAGCATGTAAATAATGTATACTATTAACTGTTGAGAATTTCTCAGCAATTCATTGCTGATATGTTTTCTTCAGTTAAAAAAAAATCTATGCAAATTTACCTTGTGCTGGCAGTGATTAAAATAATCACATATGGTGTACTATTGGCTGTGTGAGTGGGATGTGTTTAGTGTATGATGTGCTTACAATCCTTTAGTTTTACGCAAGAAACACAGAATTTTAATACTTTACTTATTAAATATTGCAAGCATGTACAGATTTTACTACTAAAAGTATACCCAATTATAATATCATTTTCAATGCATAATATTTACGTAGCTTCATGGCTAAAAGCCTACAACCTGTTAAATATTTGTTTCGTACATTTTATTTAGTTTTTAAAATACTATGGACATTTATTTGCAATAGTATGACATACAGAACAGCGACATATATTTCAAATATAATCGATACATACAACAAAGAGAACCAGTTCTGGATTGTCTTATAATCAATAGACCTTATCATTTCACGGGAAGCGGTGTTTGTTACCAATACATGTACATTGAATCAATGCTTGTACTTCTCAACTATACTACGGTGCATCAACTTTTCAAGCCTTATCTTTTTTCTAAGGCCCAGGGATTGATTTCCAATTAAAATAAAGTCAAAGACAAAAGGGGTGCCTGCCTTGTCAATGCCAAACTATTTTTGGAAGGAAAAACAAGATTCTACTCTCTTTTCCACTGGTAGCATCATGTCTCTTACTAAGATATAACTCAATGTCAGCATAATGTGCCTTTTATAAGGCAAATGATCAGTGCTCCCATTACAAAGGGAGGACTATGATCAGCTCCGAAGCTGTTTCCCTCTCCTTTGAAAAACTGCAGCTATATATATATATATATATATATATATATATATATTAGGTCAACAGTGTTTTAGATAAAAAAAAACAACAACAGTGTGTCACAGGATCAACAAAAAATAAATGTTTCGACCCTCATGGGTCTTGATCTTGATACAGACACAGGATAGTCGAAATGCTAATTTTTTTGTTGATTCTGTGAATACACTGTTGTTTTTCATCTAAAATCCTGTGAGTGCTCCTTCTTTGACCTATTTTATTGCTGCACTAGGAAGCCCCAGGCTAGTTCTATTTATACATATATTGATTTGTTTTGGGGAGATTTGTTTGTTTTTTGTTTGGACCTATACATACATATATATATAATTTAAATAAAAATGTATATATATAATTATTATTTAACTTTACATTTGAATGCATTACTTGGTAATCCATAAATTAGAGCTGTCTGGAGTATTCCTTTAAAGGGAGTCTGGAGTCTTCCTTTAAAGGGTACCTGACATTATAAAAGCAACTTAATCTTAAATGATAGAATCAAATTGCATCTATATATTGTGCTAGCAGATCTTACTCTTACAGTAAGTTTAATACGCACCGAAAACATGGCTGATGTTCTCAGCAGGAGACAGGGGGAAATGGAATTACATTAAAACATTAAAACTTTTAATAGTATTACAGAAAGAAACACTTAATTGTATAACCATAAGCCACTTCCCTCCTCCGTTAGATGCTCACCCAGTCTCCACTCCTTCAAAAAATCATTAAAAACTCACTTATCAATTAAACTGTTAATAGCTCCCGACTGATTCCTCTCTTGCAACTGTCATTAGTCCAATACTATCCTTACCTTTTTGTGTCATTTTACCCCACTCCCTCTAGCATGTAAACTCATTGAGCAGGGCCCTCAACCCCTCTGTTCCTGTGTGTCCAACTTGTCTAGTTACAGCTACATGTTTGTTCGTCTACCCACTCTAAAGTACTGTGGAATTTGTTGGCGCTACATAAATAACATAATAATAATAATAATAATAATAATAAAAATAATAATATAATATGGTTAGAAAACTGCAAACCTATATCTGACAGATTCACTACTAAGTAATTTGATGGCAATGTTTATCGAGTGTAATAGATGGCATCTTTAATTTGAATATACAATATTATCCTCATACTATTAAGTGCAATCAACAATATCTGATTTTTTTGTATAAATCTGTAGTGCTTCTATGAAGGCCTAAAAATATAAAATGAAATATACATACATACAACTTGCACATTTTTTTTTTACATTTATGCTCAACAAGATCTTAAAGCTGAAGCATTAAAGTGTCTTCCAGTAATGTGCTCCCGGATGGCTTACCAATGCTTACATCCAAATATGTCTAAAAGAGAACAAATTTATGGCACACGCATAAATATTTAAGACTGCACATGAAAAAAATATGCTTGCTACAATCTGAAAAAAATTCAAAGAAATCTATGGCCTGATTTGGGCTTTGGGCTTTAAACCAGAAGATGAGGAATTTGTGGATCAAAAGATGTCATGAAATAAAAGGACCATTTATTCTTCATACTTTTTGATGGTTCCCTACAGGACCTCTATCGAGTTTCTAATCTCAGAAAAATCAACCTTTTAACTGTAAGTAGTCATCTTGTGCTTATAAGTCTTTCTGCATAATAATCCCTCTTAGCGAAATGTTCTGTGGATATGAATCAGACACAAGAGTCCTTTGTAATCTTCTCTGGAAAACTGATTAAACATTTGCAAAGGGCATAGCATATTTGTCAAGAGACACGGTCATTCTTTTAGGCTAAGCTTAGTTGCTGCCACTCTCAATTATTTCATATCTGTAACTGTTTACTGTTGGTGTAAAGCTGTTACAACAATAGTAATGTGCTGCTTAGAAAGAAAAAAAAAGCAAATAACATCTGCCATGCTCATGGTACATATTTATTATTATTATTATAATTTATAAAGTGCCAAATATATTCCGTAGCACTGTACAATCGGTGGACTAACAGACACGTATTTGTAACCAGAGGAGTTTTGCATGTTATTCATTAATATGTATATTTACTTACTAAACAACACAATTTTTTTAAGATTGCATCTAAAATGCTTTAAAAAAGTAAATACCCCTGTGGCCAGTCGAATAAATATCTTGGCTTAACAATCCTTTCTACATGGTATTCTCTTTAACCCCTTAAGGACACAACTTCTGGAATAAAAGGGAATCATGACGGGGTATTTCCGTCATGTGTCCTTACGGAGTTAACAAGGTATGCAGACTATGGGTGCTGTGTTGCTTTGAAGCCAGGATACACATTTAGGTATACTCTTTCTGTAATATTTCCAGTCTTTTAAAACAATATAATGGCATCTTCAAACCTAGAAATCAGGTGAACCTGTCTTACATTGTCTACAGTCACGATTATATGTTTTGTCTCTTCTGTCTGTGCAATACCTCACAGTGCCACTACCTTTTTGTGGTGCTGTTGTAGGCTGCTGAACCCAGGCTGAATAGATCTGACTCTGCTCGCAGCTGGCCCTACCTCATAATTATCTCCTCCCTATTTAGTTTAGACTTGCCCCTTCTTGTTTGTCTGTCCATATTATTGTTTAAGGTCTGGTCTCTGTATCCTGTGTTACCCTTGGTGTACCAGAGCAGGCAGCTATCCTGTGTGAACCCTCGGTGTTTCAGACACCCTGTTCCCTTCCTTTTATTAAGTTATCTGTTTTGAATCCATTATTCTTTTGAGTTTCCTATGTAAATAGAGATCTATCATTGCCTTACATACAGCATAAAGTCATAAATCCTGCTCTCACTCAATAAAAACCTGCCTTCCGGCTGAAGTGGTAGAGGTTAACACAGTAAAGGAGTTTAAGTATGCGTGGGATAGGCATGAGGTTATCCTAACTATAAGATAAGGCTAGGGACTAATGAAAGTATTTAGAAAATTGGGCAGACTAGATGGGCCGAATGGTTCTTATCTGCCGTCACATTCTATGTTTCTATGCCTTCTTAATCATATGGCTAGAGTTCAACATCTAATAATTTAGAAAAAAAAACAAATGGAACGCTTTCAAATGAATCTTATTTCCTATGTGAGGAGTATATATATTTATTAACATAATGGCCTGCTTGCAATCAACATCCTAATGAAACTGCAAAGTTTAATGTGTAGATGGGGTGACAACACAGAAAAGGGCGGTCTTAATAAGTCGATTTACACTTGGAGAAATGCTGAACATTTTGTGATGGGGTGTAATAAAGTTCAAGCACACACTGCAAACTGCTTCTACATTGTTTTACTTGTTTTCTTGAATGTGTTTCTTATAGTGGCCAGACTTAATGTATTAATATAGCGAAAACAAGGTCAGGATAAGCCAAGGTCAGGAGTACAGAAATACACAGAGTATATACAAAGCCGGGTCAAGATACCAGAAAATCAAGAGTCAAATTCAAAGCCAGGTCAGGATACCAGAAATCACAAGTTAAATACAAAGCCGAGATTAAAAACATGAAATCACAAGGGAATCGCTAGGAGCACTAAATGCGGATCTAACAAGAAACCATGATAGGACAAAGAATGGGTGCTTAAACAAGCCTTAAATAGGCTTATCTGTTTTCTGATTGGTCCACGCCATAATTGCTACTCAAAACAGATTACCTAGATGACATGGTAGATGACATGGTACCTTTAAGAGGGGATGTAACGTCATGCAGCAATCTTATATAAAAACGTGCTTTTAGAGCGGGCAGCATTCTAAGTTCTGACAGCAGAGTGCAGCAGCGAGATATCGGTGAATGCGGAAGAGTGATTTGCTGGCGCTGAAGGGTAAGTATGTTTATTTTTCACAGAGGCCAGTGGTGTATTTAGCCCATGGCAAACTAGGCATTTGCCCTGGGTGGCACTAACCAGGGGGCGACAAAACATGCCGCCCCTAAACGCCCACTCGGGCGTCTCCTTTGCTCCTCCCACCATATGGACCCCCCGGTGTGCGGCTGTATTGGAATCCGAGACAGCGAGGGAGCTCTGATCTCCTTGCCCTGCTCCCTCTACATTTGCTGATTGCCGCGGGAGCCGGAAAATGACATTATATCCCGGCTCCCGGCATCAGTAGATGGCCCGCGAGGGAGCAGAGCAGGGAGATCAGAGCCCCCTCGCTGCCTCAGATTCTAATACAGCCGCACACCTCCCAGCAGCACCACTGGACCCCAGGGACACATCCACGCCAGCTCTCCACGTAGGGAGGCTGAGTGGAAATTTTCAAAGCATTTTAATAATATTAATAATTAGTGAGTGTATGTGTGTGTGTCTGTGAGTGTATGTGTTTGTCTGTGTGTGCATGTGAGTGTATGGTTGGGTCTGTGTGTGTCTGTATGTCAGTGTGTGTGTTTGTGAGTGTCTGTCAAATCAGTGAGATTCTGTTTCCCATTGAGTCTGTGTGTGACTATCAGTCAATAAGTGTCTGTCAGTGTGTGCCTGTCAGTGTGTGTCTGTCAATGAGTGTGTGCTTAAAGGGACACTATAGGCGCCCAGACCACTTCAGCTCATTGAAGTGGTCTGGGTGCAGTGTCCCACTCCCTTTAACCCTGCAAGCTTAATTATTGCAGTTTCTCAGAAACTGTGTAGGTTCGACCACAATCCTAGGCTACTGGGTCTGGTTTTGATGCAAAAGCCTTACTCCAGTTTTGACTCAGCTGCATCAATTCAGTCACAATCACATCAGTTGAAATGCTTTACAATTTTTACAAGGTTTCAAGCATGTCATTCTACCTCCAACTAACCCTTAATAATATGAACCTCAACCTTAGCACCTATTTATAACTTGATGTCAGTGTCTCGACTGATGCAATGCACATGTGCCAATGATCCCGAATTGATGCAGAAGCCTGGGCATATAGAAACCTTTGTGATTTTTGGTCCAATGTACTTTAGTGGTTTCTTTTAACACATAAGAATATGTCTCTGCTGTACCTGATTTTTGTTACCGAGTTTCTGTGCAAGAGTTATTCTTGTCTTGAGCTTTGCTTGCTTGATTTAACATTTGTATTCTTCTCCTGGAATAAACTCTGTTTAGTTATGCTACTTCCAGAATTCTATTCTAAATATTAAGCCTGTACGTATATTTAAAAAAAATTAAATTAATGAGTTATTTATTATCATTATTTTTTTTCAATACGCTAATTGGTTTTAGAAATAAAGTTGATGGTTTTCCTTTTCTTTTGCTCATCCTTTTTTACACCTCTATTGGCCACTTCTCATTTAATCTGTGAGTACAATCAACATTTAGTGATTATCCCCTAACCGTCAGTTATCTTTTTTCCCCCATCAATCATGTGTTTTTATTGGCACCAAGTGCGGAATTCAGAAGCACAAGTCAAAACAAACAAGCTCGTCGATTGCACATTTTAGTTGGTTTGACATTCCAATACATTTAGGCTTGGAGTTAGAGAAACCGATCACCCGATTTGCAGTTTAGAACAAACAAAAAAACTTCAACTCTGTTGAACATTGCTCAAACCAAGTTCTCACTAAATGTTTACATCTGGTTAGAAGATACCTTTATTGCAAGTTATGCTTATCCCCTTGAGGACAGAGCCAAATGTACACGTTGTGAACAAAACAAAATGTAAACAAAACCTGGCATTTGCGCTACATGTCTGTCCAACCGTAATTTCCCCTTCTTTCATAGTAAATGCACCCACCCTTATTATATATCACTTTATTCAGGGGAAACAGGGCTTTCATTTAATGTCAAATATTTAGCTATGAAACATAATTTAATATGAAACAAATTGGAGAAAATAAGATTGTTTTGATTTATTTTAGTTCTACATGACATTTTAACTGTCAATGTCATAATACTGTTTGCTTTTACTGCAATAAAATACACATATTTGTATTCAGCAAGGTCTCACGTGTAAAACAGTACCCCCTATGTACAGGTTTTATGGCGTTTTGGGAAGTTACAGGGTCAAATATAGCACATTACATTTGAAATTGAAATTCGCCAGATTGGTTACGTTGCCTTTGGGACTTTATAGTAGCCCAGGAATGAAATTTACACCCATAATGGCATACCATTTGCAATAGTAGACAACCCAAGGTATTGCAAATGGGGTATGCCCAGTCTTTTTTAGTAGCTATTTGGTCACAAACACTGGCCAAAGTTAGCGTTAGTATTTCTTTGTGTGAAAAATGCAAAAACGCCAATTTTGGCCAGTGTTTGTGAGTAAGTGGCTACTAAAAAAAACTGGACATACCCCGTTTGCAATACATTGGGTTGTCTACTATTGCAAATGGTATGCCATCATAGGGTTAATTTTCATTCTTGGGCTACCATAGGGTCTCAAAGGCACCGTAACCAATCTGGCGAATTTTTATGTGAAAAAAATGAAACGCAAGCTTTATATTTGACGCTGTAACTTTTGTAAACATCATAAAACCTGTACATGAGGGGTACTGTTGTACTCGGGAGACTTTACTGAACACAAATATTTGTGTTTCAAAACAGCAAAAAGTATCACAGCAATATTGTCCGTGTAAGTGCTGTTAGTGCATGCAAAATGCAAAAAACTTCACTTTTACTGGCGATATCATCGCTGTAATACAGTTTACTGTTTTGAAACACTAATATTTGTGTTCAGCGAAGTCTCCCGAGTAGAACAGTACCCCCATGTACAGGTTTTATGGTGTCTTTGAAAGTTATAGGGTTAAATATAGCGCTAGCAAATTAAATTCCCTTTACTTTCGGCATGGGTTATCAGGCAGGTCCCGCTAATTGTAATTAATTAAGATACCTAATTATGTAAAAAATATTACATAAATATATATGTAGAATTAATATATGTATATATATGTATGTGAATCTATATGTGTATATATAATTTTTTTTTATATATTTTTATTTATATATAGGTATATATATAGTGATATATACATATATATTTATGTATGTAGATATATATATTATTTCGTTCTACGTGTATTTTGATATAAATATATATATATATATATTAATATCACAATACAGTTAGAACTAAATAACACACATCTATATATTTTTTTATTATTTTTTTAAATTATTTTTAACATTTTATTTTTTAACGTATTTACATATTTAATTTTTTTATATTATATATAAATATATATATAACAATAATTATATATATATATATATTTAATCAGTATCAGTCTACGTGTAATTTGATATTAATATATATATATATATAATTATATATATATTAATAGTAAAATACATCTAGACAGTGTATGTGTGTATGTATATGTGTATATATATACTTGATCTAAGTATAATAAATTTTTTTTTACACTTATTAATTTTATTTTAATTTTATTTCTAGCCAGCAGGGGGACCACCTGTCATTTCAGGCAGCCCCACTGCTTGTAATACAGAAGCCAGCTATCCCGGCCATGTGATTGTGAGGTCCTTGCAAGGACCTCACTCTCAAATGGCCGCGGGGGGCTCCCTGGGAGTCTCCCCCCACCGCAATCGCTGGCGTTGGACCGCCGGCGACCGGATAAGTAAGGAAAGACCGGAGGGTGCACAATTACGCCCAGCGGCGTTAAGAGCTGCCTAAAATAGGGCGTAATTGCACGCCCTCCAGTCTTAAGGGGTTAAATACTGGTCTTCTGTTGAAATGTAGCAATAAAATCAGTAACTTGTCATTGCAGAAACAACTTGGGCTTTCTGATAATGCAGTAATCGAAAGACAATGCCATAATAGTAATAGTTTGATTTGTACAGCGCTACGGAATCTGATTGCGCTATATAAATAAAATAATAATAATAATAGCACACAGAATACTGTCAGATCAATAAACCGACTGATGAGAAATATTTTCAGATTTATGAACGAAATGTAGTAAAGTCTGCATTAAATGAACAAATCCAGCTAAGCTTGTAGAAAGGACTCATCCGACTGCCCAAGGGCCTTGGAAGGCAGAGCCAATAGATGTTCTTACTGTACACAGAGTTTTTGTGTAAATAGTTAATCAAGTCATTTAACTTTACCTAATGAGACAACTCTCTTCCTGAGAATATAGTGCTTAGCACACTGAAATGTTACACATTTTAGTAAATTATTCATTCTCCCGATTTTTTTTAGGCAGCGTGTTTTTTTTGTTTTGTTTTTTTTTAACCTCCAGCACTTCTTAGAAGACATGACCTTTAATTTGTTCTATATTTTTATTTACAATAAAACATGAATAAATATATGTATATGTCTATGCAAAACAGTAGAAATTGTGCTGATAAAATTATTAAGTCTGAATATAATTTCTGCTGCTAGTTTTAAACAGTGCCAGGTCAAGGTTAAAAGGAATTGTGTAACTTTGTCTGATAAATACAATATTTGTGGTGGGAAGATGGTGCCTTGTAGACTGTCTACCTCCCGAGGACAGATATTATTGTTACCTGTGGTATGGAACTCATTTTATTGTCCACAGGACTGAAAGCATACTTTGATCAGCTGTCTAGATCTACATCCATAGAGCAACTGATTTATAAAGCTTTTTTGGCTTTTTTTTATTTCTTTTTTCTGTAAATTGCATCCTGCAAAGTAATCTTTGCCTTTTCTTACTATATTTCTAAACATTCATGCAAAATGTAGTGATATGTTTAACTGCAATAAAAGTCGAAAATCTTCCATTTCGTTGCAGGCATTTTCATCAGAGCTGCACTTAAATGGGTACTAAAGTCATCAACTACAGCTGCACTGACCAATTAAAACTCAGTCCCAAAACTGCAGGAAAACACAGAAGCTCACAGGAAATCATTGAATAAAATCCTTTCCTGTGAGGAAGCATGGATGTGCACCTCACTCACCGCAAATGTGTATCAGTTTTCCAATGCTCATCTATTGGATCATCATGGCCATGCTTCCTCGATGACGTCACAAAAGGTGGAGAGGCGAGCAGTGGCGAAGGAGACTCTATTCTCCTAAAATATAATATAATAAATATAACAGGCAAAGGTTCAGTTTGATCTCTACCAGAAATAATAATATTCAGTATCACAAAATATAATGCTCAATAAATGCTTTTGTGTAAATTGTTCTTTATTAAGTGGCATAAAGATTGTACAAAGCCAAACATATTGTGGTATTATTAAACAAAGAAACACTTGGCATAGTTTACTTAAAAACAAAAACAATACCACATTTTTAAATTATGAAGAAAAAGTGAATTACAGAGCAATATTAAGCATGAATTATTGCTTTACATATAACTGTGCTATTAAGTAAGAGACCATGATATATGATAATGGGCATAGAGGAACAGGACTTGAAATAAAAACAGGAGCAGGCCTACACAGCATTCCAGGCCACCTAACCAATACCCAGTCTATATGCTTGAGATGGGACCTACAAAGAAGGAGAAAATGTATCCACTTCCAGAAGACGAAACTGTGCAATCTGAGTTAATCCTCAGGTAAGAGAACAAGCAGATGCACAATGCCAACCAGATCAGATATCCTCTGGGTCTGTGCCTATGTATAATTGAGGATGTATGTGGAGTAGAAATGGTGGTGACACCACTTTGGGACGATGCCCACCCAACCTTTAATTTTTTTTTCAGAAATATTGACATTTCATAGGGGTGCATCACCACCGAGGATTATTGAAGGCCTTGGCTTCAAGCCATATAATAGACACTTGTGTGTCTCTGGCTCAGGTCGAGTGGGATTGACCGTCTGCTCTATATGAGTGTCTGTACTCTGAACTTGCGCTACGGCCAAGCCCAGAATGAAGAATAAACATTGTCCAATGTGTCTAGAAAACCTTGAGGAAGCTGTGCAAACCTCCTATGTGCCATAGAAGTCTCCATCTCATGTCCAGCCACCATCTTAGGTAAGTCTCTACTAAAAACATTTTGCACACTCTTATGCCATTAACTAAGTCCTAATCAATTAATTCTCGATAGAAGTAACTGGGATTATTCCCAATGGACCAAGAGGGAGAGGGGACCTGAGGAGAAGCACTGTTTCAGCCAGGTGGGTGATCAGCCATCTTTCTCACTATGATAAGACACTAAGCCTCAGAGTTAGAAAGCTGAGATCTGTAATGGGCCCAAATCAGGTAAATGCTAAAAAGCTTGGTTAAACCCCTACTGAGTTCTCAAGTACACTGCAGCCAATTAAGCTTGTGTCACCATACACCATTCCCTCTAGCATCTAAGCTCATTGAGCAGGGCCCTCAACCTCTATGTTTCTGTGTGTTCAACTTGTCTGGTTACTATTACGTGTCTGTTACTCCACCCATTGTACAATGCTGTGGAATTTGTTGGCGCTTTATAAATAAATAAAATAATAATGAATTCTGAATGAAAATAAGTAAACTGTAAACTGTAAAATACCATAATGTGCTGCAGTGCTCACACTATCTTCCTCCACTCAGCATGGCAGCCAGGTCCTGACCCCTCAAAAAATGTTTTAATGTTTTGTTAAATGCTTATTTCTGAAAAAATTATTATTTTGCTTATTTTGCTCAATATGATGATATGATACACAGTGAAGAAAAGAAGACAACACTATCAAATTGAACCTGTGAGTTTAACATCAGTAAATACTGATCCAGGCTATGTGTAAACTGATAGCAAATACAGTATAGATACTATTAGCTTATAAAGCAGTTCCACTCTTCTTAAGTGATTATTAGAACCACTTTACTTATGCATAGAAGGCATTACGAGTTTCTTCTTGGTGTGGGATATGTCTGTCTGTCTGTCTGCAAGCAGAATCACAAAACAGGCAGCAAAAAATATTTTCGAGGGAAATCACTTTTGTATTTGTAATAATTTTTTATGTATTTTTATAATGCAGTACAAAATCAATGGTAATTAGTGCCGCATAATAAGCCTTGAAAGGAAAACCACCACATCCTTCAATTTGTATTAGATTTACTTATTCTCTATGTTCACCAAATATGTTGAATTTTTTAATTTTTTTTTGCTTGTCTGTTTAAAGGATCACTATAGGGTCAGGAATACAAACATGTATTCCTGACCCTACAGTGTTTTACCCACCATTTTGGTGGCTTACCCACCCTTAGCCCCCTTGTAAAAGTATAAAACTCACCTTATTTCCAGCGCCGCATGGGTCCACCCTCTTTGTGACATAATCGAAATGGTCAATTTTTTTGAATCAATGCATCTCTATGAGAAAAATTCAGCGTCTCCATGCAGAGCGTGGGGACGCTGAACGTCAGGGCTGCTTACTGTGCAACCTTGAGCCAGGAAGCCCCTCCAGTGGCCATCTAAGGAGTGGCCACTTGGAGGTGTCCCTAGGGGCAATGTAAACACTGCCTTTCCTCTGAAACAAACAGTGTTTACATGAAAATGCCTGAAGGCAATGATTACACTCACCAGAACAACTACATTAAGCTGTAGTTGTTCTGGTGACTATAGTGTCCCTTTAATGAAGTTTCCATTGAGAATCAAATAAGGAATGGTACATTTTATGGAATTACCTATCCAGTCAGACAGACATGAGTGAGCAAAAGTGCCAACATGGCAGTGATATTAAAGGAGCACCAAAACAACTTTAATGTATTAATATGCTGGGTGTTTTTGTTGTTGATATCTGGGCAAGAGAGAAAAACAATCAGAAGAGGGGAGGAGGGGATGGAAGAAAAGCAGAAAGGGACAAAGAAGAGAAAGAGTTAAAACAAATACAAATTATAATAAGAAACCATAGAATGTGACCAGGGCCGGACTGGCCCACCGGGATACTGGGAAATTTCCCGGTGGGCCGACGGCACCTGGGGCCAGGCAGACACCTGGGTCTGCTGTCGGCCGCTGTGGAGGTCTTCTGGCGGCTGCTGGGGGACTTGTCCTGGCGGCCGCTGGGGGACATGCGCTGGCTCTGCTTCCCAGCGCGTAGCTGAATGAGACCGGCGCCGGAATATGACATCATATTCCGGCGCCGGTCTCATTCAGCAGCGCGTGAGGGCGGGAGAGCAGAGCCGGCGCAGCTCCCCCAGCGGCCACCAGGACAAGTCCCCCAGCGGCCGCCAGAAGACCTCCCCAGCGGCCGACAGCAGACCACCCCAGCGGTAAAAGTCCCCCAGCGGCCCCCAGAAGACTTCCCCCTGGCAGGTATTAGTAATGTGTCTGTCTGTCTGTGTCATGGTGTCTGTCTGTATGTGTGGTGTGTGTTTGTCTGTCTGTCTGTTCATGGTGTATGTCTGTATGTATGGTGTGTGTGTGTGTCTGTCTGTCTGTCTGTCTGTGTCATGGTGTCTGTCTGTATGTATGGTGTGTGTGTGTCTGTCTGTCTGTCTGTGTGATGGTGTCTGTCTGTCTGTCTATGGTGTGTGTGTGTGTGCCTGTCTGTGTCATGGTGTCTGTCTGTATGGTGTGTGTGTGTATCTGTCTGTCTGTCTGTCATGGGGTGTGTGTGTCTGTCTGTCCGTCATGGGGTGTGTGTGTGTCTGTCCATCATGGGGTGTGTGTGTTTGTCTGTCCGTCATGGGGTGTGTGTGTGTGTGTGTGTCTGTCCGTCATGGGGTGGGTGTGTGTGTCTGTCTGTCCGTCATGAGGTGTGTGTGTGTCTGTCTGTCATTCATGGGGTGTGTGTGTGTGTCTGTCCGTCATGGGGTGTGTGTGTCTGTCTGTCCGTCATGGGGTGTGTCTGTCTGTGTCATGGTCTGTCGTGGTCTGTCATGGTGTGTGTCTGTCATGGTGTAAATGTGAGTTTAAAAATAGTGTTTTTGCTCACCTGTTTTTTTTCCCCACGCAGCGTGCTGGTCTCCCCTCGACTGGCCCTGCCTCTATAGCTGAGATCATCAAGCTTGATGATCTCAGCCAATCCAATGCTTTGCCATAGGATTGGCTGCAAAACGCCACTCCAATCAGCATCTCCTCATAGAGATGCATTGAATCAATGTATCTCTATGGGAAACGTTCAGCACCTACAGAGTGTGGAGGCCCTGAATGTAGGTGCACTAACACAGGAAGCACCTCTAGTGACCGTCTGAGTGACTGTCACTAGCAGTGTCACTTTGAAGCAATGTAAACACTGCCTTTTCTCTGAAAAGTCAGTGTTTACGTTGAAAAGCCTGTAGGGACATGCTATAGACACCAGTACCACCACATTAAGCTGTGTGTGTGCGTCTGCTAGTGAGTGAGCTTGCTTGCATGGGTGTGCCTGCTAGTGAGTGAGCTTGTGTTTTTATGTCAATGAGCTGATGTATATTAGTAAGATTGTTTGTCTATGAAGCTGTGTATCAATGAGCTTGTGTGTGTCATTGAGATTGTCTGTGTCTGCATGTGAGTATGCTTACTGTATAATTAAACGTTTTACCCTGAAAGGACCAATATTTTATATTAGAAAAAGCAATATATATATATATATATATATATATATATATATATTACTCAATCATCTGTCCTGGCAAGACATAGCCTTACATATTACACGCGACAATATATTGCGCAGTGACTTATGGGGCTGGCACAAATTTTTTTTCCAGGGCTGCTTTGTATCCCCAGTCCGGCCCTGAATGTGACGACAGATAAGAATCTTTCGGCCCATGTAGTCTGCCCAATTTTCTAAATAATCTCATTAGTCCCTGGCTTTATTTTATAGTTAGTATAGCCTTATGTCTATCCCACGCATGCTTAAACTCCTTCACTGTGCTAACCTCTAGCACTTCAGCTGGAATGCTGCTGTGGTAAAGGTTAACTTCTTGCAGCAATGATTCAATCATGTGCTACACCTTCCATGAGTTGAAAAATCAGAAGAACCTGTACAACAAACATGTTTCTTGTGAGGTCTGAAAAAAAATTATATGCAGAAATCTACATTATTGTATTTACCTCTATCCTGGAACTGAACTTCTCCATTTTGATTCCCCGTCAACCATTGTTATAAGCTAAGCCCTTTCTGTGATTGAACAATGTGAGTGGAGATGAAGAAAAATAAATAATGTTTCTGTTTCCTCTGATATTTGCATAGCGTGCCCTGGCTGTGCCCTGACTTAACAGGTTTTGGGATGTAAATTGTTAAATCTTCCCTGTGCATTTAAATGAAAACAGAACATCACATGAAAAAAAGATTAACACAAGCTACAGGCAATTTTTTATGTTTTATTCAATAGTGTTAGTTCCAGAAAATTGATGGTTTCTCTTTAACATCCTTAGTCAAGGCATATTTCTCAGAAGCAGGGACGTTTCTCTGCCACACAAGTACAATCATTGAAGCTTACAGCTGTATACTTTTATATCTACGCACAAAGAATAGATTTCCTCTCCACTTTTCACCTCCACTTCATGTATGCTATATTATCATTTGAGGAAAACCCTATATGTGATGACAACTGTAAAGTCTCTTGAGAATGAACACGTATGAGTCATAAGCATATGTCTTCATATAACGCATTCAAAGCAGACACTTCTTTACACTCTTTTGTGTATGTCACACGTTTTATAGGATAAACATACTGAGTGGATTTCGAGTTGACTTAAGTCATATTGCACTTATTTCACAGATATAAACACCACCTGGCTTAATTCCATCATTAGAAAAGATTCTGCTTTGGAAATATTTGGGTAATTGTTACACTATGCATAATTCCCATCTACATGTGCTTCTGCATTGTCATTAATATTTTTGATGGAGTAACAATTATGTATAAATCTATTTACAAGTCCACGTACCATCTTTTGGAGATTCCTTCTTGCCTTAAGCCTTTAACAACCAATGAAATTCCATGCCGTCATCACACTCTGGTCCCTGAAGTCCCAAGGTCAATAAAGTTGGTATGTCTTCGTTATCTGGTCATTTGCAGATCTGTACTGCAAAATGAGACATTCCAATTATATCCAGCATCAAATCTAATATATAAAATTTGGTACATATCTAATTATTAAAAACTAATTACTGGTCTTAAAATCCTGGGCGTAGGAACCCCCACATATCTGGGGAGGATAGCATTCTTACTCGCCGGGTATATTCATATTCAGTAAACTGGCAGTTGTTTATCCCATTGTACAGTGATACGGAATTTGATGGCGCTATGTAAATAATAAAATAATAATAATGTTAAATTTTAAGTGTGTGTGTGTGTGAAATAATATAATGTGAAGCATATCAGTGTATCGCAGAGCTCCACAGCAATACAACTGACAGTAATGTGTGAGGTGCAAGTACATCACAGAACACCTCAGCAATAAAATGCATGGGAAAGTGCAGTGTGTGAGTGTATCACAAGCTCTACAGCAAAATAACTTACAGGAACGTGCAGTTTGTGAGCGTATTACAGATCACCTCATCAATACAATGCTCAGGAATGTACAGTGTTTGAATATATATCAGCCAACCCAATGCGTGGCAAAACACTGTGCTGCACCAATCAGCATCTCCTCACAGAGATGTGTTGAATCAATGCATTTCTATGAGTAGTGTTCAGCGTGAATGCTAGTGCTGCACGTTGTGCAACACTGGACTAGGAAGCACCTCTAGTGGCCGCCTGATAAGGTATTCCTCAGCAGTAATGTAAATACTGTCTTTTTCTGAAAAGGCAGTGCGCTTACATTAAAAAACCTGCAGAGACATGCTATAAACACCAAAACTACTACGTTTAGCCATTGTGGTTCTGATGACTATAGTGTCACTTGAATATAGAGGGGAAAAAAGAATCATCACAAATGTATGAAATAAAAATGTCTATCATAAACAATGAGCAGATGGTACTGTACTAATGATATCCCTGGCTGGATGGGAGCATTCCATGTGCTCAGCATGGTATCCCTGGTTAGATGTGAGCATTCCATACCTGGTTAGATGTGAGCATGGTTCCATGTGCTCAGTATGGCATCCCTGGCTAGATGTGAGCATTCCATGTCCTCAGTATGGCATCCCTGGTTAGATGTGAGCATTCCATGTGCTCAGTATGATATCCCTGGTTAACCCCTCTATCCACCCATCCCTAATCGTCTCCCCTCCAACCACCTAGCCTCCTAACCCCCATAAAACAAGTAATATATCTTCTTGTACTTACAGTACTGAAGACACCAGCAGTGCTCTGAGCTCAGGGTTCAGGGCTGAAAGCATGAGGCGCTGCTCTGCAGTTGTAGGAGACCGGGGCTCACCCTAGCGTTGCCGTGACTCCATGTGACATCAAGGAACTCGGGTACGCAGAGGGCAAGGGAGGTCGGGAGGAGGAGCAAACAAAGTCCTTTAATATGCGGCGATGCCGAATAGTGGAGGGTTGAATCAGATCAGGATTTGAGAGGGAAAATTTTTAGCATATTATTGTGGGCAGCGGGGCTCAAGAGGCAGCTGCCTTAGGACCCCCAGTAGCAACTGGGCCCGGGGGTAGCTGCCCCTTTTGCCCCGTGTTAATGGCCACATTTCCTAACTGTCATTTAGGGACACTTACTACCCCCCCATACCCCTTCCGTTCATATTATTACACCCATACCGCTTCTGATCATGTTACTACCCCCCTATACCCCTTCTGTTCATATTACTACCCCCATACCTCTTCCGTTCATATTACTACCCCCCATACCACTTCCGTTCATATTACTACCCCCTATACCCCTTCTGTTCATATTACTACCCCCCATACCGCTTCCGTTCATATTACTATTACATATTACCCCCTATACCTGTTCTGTTCATATTACTACCCCATTCCCCTTCCGTTCATATTACTACCCCCATACCTGTTCCGTTCATATTACTACCCCCTTCTATTCATATTACTACCCCCCACAGCCCCACCCCCTCTAGTCATATTAGTAGCCCCCTTACCCCCTTCATTCATATTAGTACTCCCCTCCATTCATATTAATACCCCCTCTTACCCCCCTCCATTCATATTTGTACCCCCTCCTAACCCTCTCCATTCATATTTGTACCCCCTCCATTCATATTAGTACCCCCTTCTAGCCCTATTAGTACCCTTCCACCCCCCTTCATTCCTATTAGTAGCCCCTAACCCCTTCTATTCATTTTTCTACCCACCCTCTCCCCCTCCCCAAATTATATCTCCCTCTAACCCTTCCATACTAAATACCTGGCAGCTGCTTGTTTTTTATAATCACGCCGGCTCCACTCTTCCCCTTGCACTATGTCATCTCCCTCCCTGCCGTTTTACCGCACAGAGCAGGGGAGGGGGACCTCTTCAAGCAGCGCACGGTGTCAGACTGAGCGCCAGGTAGTCACGTGACACCCAGCGCTCCTATGCAGATCGGGAGGGGGAGGTACTCCCCCTCCCAGTGTACACTGTGTGCGGCTCCATTATGGAGTCCAACTCATCTGCTTGTCTGTTAGTCTACCCATTGTTCAACGCTGTAAAATTTGGCACTTTATAAAAATTAATAAGAAATAAATAAATGCTTATGTTGTGTATCTAACTGGGAATATTGCTTACCATAGGGGTTCCACTAGCTCCTATTTGAATCCACTCCTGAATTAATTTGTATCAGGAATAATTTGGAACTAAATTTTAAATGCTCATTACTTCCAGCTTCTATTTACTTTATTTGATGTGTCAGTGGGTATAAATCATATTTGTAGGTTATGGGCTCTACAATGAGCCAACTTAACTGTAGGGTGTATAATGACATATTGTTGTGTATAACAAGACAATAGCTGTATGATTCAATACGTTGTATGCACAGACCTTACATTGTCATGTATTCTCATGATATAGCATTACAGTTAAATACAACTGGACCCATTCTACTGTGAGTAATGTACACATTTTTTTCTGTATAGAATCCTGAGGGAGCAGAGATAAAAATGGGCATATGTGTCACAAATCAATCTAGCCAATCACAAGCTGTAAAATATTGTTTTAAGTGAGTAATTGGGTTAGCTTGATTTATTTTAATTTATTTGTATGTGTTCAGGGCTTACTTTATATGTTTTTATCACACCTAATGGAATGGACCCCTCTGATACAAGAGACTAAATGTTAAGACCAGTAGTTTAAAGATGAATGTATACAACTAAAGCATTTAGCCAAATAGATTACGAAATTGGCAATCTGTAAAATTCATTAAAGAAAGAAATATTGACCGTATTGTTTTCATTGACTAAAAAATGACTAAAAATGCGGGGAAAACTATACCTTGGTATATATATATATATATAGTTAATATAATGTTAAACAAAAATCTGTACATCAGTCAAGCCATAAGACTCGCTTTTCCCAGCGGAATCCATGTTTAAAATGGAATGAGGCAAAAATTTGATTTTTTGTTAACCCCTTAAGGACGGAGACAAATGTACACGTTGTGAACAAAACAAAATGTAAACAAAACCTGGCATTTGCGCTACATGTCTGTCCAACCGTAATTCACCTCTTTCATAGTAAATGCACCCACCCTTATTATATATCATTTTATTCAGGAGAAACAGGGCTTTCATTTAATATCAAATATTTAGCTATGAAACATAATTTAATATGCAAAGAATGGGAGAAAATAAGATTTTTAAAAATTTTTTTTAGTTCTACATGACATTTTAACTGTCAATGTCATAATACTGTTTGCTTTTACTGCAATAAAATACACATATTTGTATTCAGAAAAGTCTCACGTGTAAGACAGTACCCCCTGTGTACAGGTTTTATGGCATTTTGGGAAGTTACAGGGTCAAATATAGCATGTTACATTTGAAACTGAAATTTGCCAGATTGGTTACGTTGCCTTTGAGACTGTATAGTAGCCCAGGAATGAAATTTACCCCCATAATGGCATACCATTTGCAATAGTAGACAACCCAAGGTATTGCAAATGGGGTATGTCCAGTCTTTTTTAGTAGCCATTTGGTCACAAACACTGGCCAAAGTTAGCGTTAGTATTTGTTTGTGTGTGAAAAATACAAAAAACGCCAATTTTGGCCAGTGTTTGTGACTAAGTGGCTACTAAAAAAGACTGGACATACCCTGTTTGCAATACCTTGGGTTGTCTACTATTGCAAATGGTATGCCATCATAGGGGTAATTTTTTTAGGGGTAATTTTCATTCTTGGGCTACCATAGGGTCTCAAAGGCAATGTAACCAATCTGGCGAATTTTAATGTGAAAAAAATGAAGCCTTATATTTGACGCTGTAACTTTTGAAAACACCATAAAACCTGTACATGAGGGGTACTGTTGTACTCGGGAGACTTTGCTGAACACAAATATTTGTGTTTCAAAACAGTAAAAAGTATCGCAGCAATAATATCGTCTGTGTAAGTGCTGTTTGTGCGTGAAAAATGCAAAAAATGTCAATTTTACTGGCGATATCATCGTTGTAATACATTTTACTGTTTTGAAACACTAATATTTGTGTTCAGCGAAGTCTCCCGAGTAGAACAGTACCCCCCATGTACAGGTTTTATGGTGTCTTGGAAAATTATAGGGTTAAATATAGTGCTAGCAAATTAAATTCCCTTTACTTTCGGCATGGGTTGTCAGGCAGGTCCCGCTAATTGTAATTAATTAAGATACCTAATTATGTAAAAATATTACATAAATATATATGTAGAATTAATATATGTATATATATATCTATATATATACGTATGTGTATATATATGTATATATCTATATAATTTTTTTAAATATTTGTATTTATATAGGTATATATATAGTGATATATACGTATATATTTATGTATATAGATATATATATTATTTCATTCTACGTGTATTTTGATATATATATATATTAATATCACAATACAGTTAGAACGAAATAACACACATCTATATATTTTTTAATGATTTTTTAATGATTTTTTAAATTTATTTTTTAACGTATTTACATATTTTTTTATATTATATATAAATATATACAACAATAATTATATATATATTTGATCAGTATCAGTCTACGTGTAATTCGATATTACTATATATATATAATTATATATATATATTAATAGTAAAATACACCTAGACAGTGTACGTGTGTGTATGTATATGTGTATATATATACTTAGATCATATATATATGATCTTTGCTATTTATGTTCTTTTTTATACTTAATATTTTCTTTTAAATTCTTAAGCATCTTTGTGTGTTATATAACTGTTTGTTCGTGTGTGTTTTTTATGTGTTTCAGAAGGTATAGTGGCTAATAATTTGTTAGTATATGACATGGAGCTATAGTGGCTAACCTTTGGAACCCAGATGGTTGTCATCTACATTTCATGATGCTCTGCCAGATGTTTGCTAGACATTCTATTGATAGAATATTTTGTAAATCATCAGCAAATAGGTTTGAAATCAAACATGTTATACCCTTAGGGCTATTCACTGAGTGATAATTGTTGAGAATAAATTTTAATGACTTGGAGAATTTATCCAGTCCAGATATTTTGGCCTTTTATTTGAAATTCACATTGAATTTCAAATTGAAATGTTGAATTCCCAACAATTCTCACTTCATCAAATAGCCCTGTTTATCTTTAAAATCCGTATAATTCTCTATTCTACATCACGTGTCTGCCAACGCTTTTCCAAAGGCAATAAATGTGACTGCCTCCGGTATTACATAGAAAGGAGATGTTGTTGGAGGTACATCATATCTTCACAATAACTACACAAAATGTGGTCTACTGTAAATGCCATTACATCTAATGTAATTGTACTCTTACAATTGGTATAATGGGTAACTGTCCTTATTAATGTCAAAGATATATCTATAAAACACAATG